AGCAGAGGAGGTGGAGCAAGGAGGGAGGCAGCATATTGCCAGTTTGGCTTGCTGCTTTTAAGGAGAGATGTCAGGATTTCTTCATCTGCGGCTGCCGGGGCAAGGGTGCTATTTATGTGGGTTTGCTTGGAGGCTGCATTCCTAGTGAAGTATTCCATCAGACTGCTATTATTCAGCTGAATGAAAGCTTGAGGAACTTTAGAAGGGGAGACACGTCCAGATCACCCATTTTTTCATTGGTTTGTAAATGATAGGAAGAAAATAAAATGCTGATGTAAGTATAAATCTATGGAATCACAGGAGCTGTGTGTGTGTGTGTGCGCGCGCGCGCATGTCCCTGTGTCCTTAGAGAATGATGCCCTTGTGAGTCACCTTTGCCCCACACCACTTTTTCCTGGTATAAACAAAATGGTAAGAGGTGAACCTTTGTTTGTGTCCGGGTGGCCTTGGACCCATATGTTCAGACTCCAGGACAACGGGGCAAACGCGAGCAGTTATGTAAGACATGGAGCGTTCACATGGAGTCCAGATGCTAAGCTCTCATCATGCCATGAAATGTGAGTGCCAGAAGGACCTTTAGAGAGCAACTGCCCTCACCATTTCTGAGCCGGGGTGGGCTGCAGGGGACTTGCGAGCCCCCCATGCAAAGGAGTACCCACATGTTCCAGGTGCAGAGGATCAGCGGCTCCGCAGAGGTTAGGAATTGTTTGCCTAGAGGAAAAAGCATGACTTGAGAGTCAGGTCTCCCCGTCTTGGGACATACCTCGGGGAAGCCTCTTAAATCTCCAGCCTCAGCTTCCTTAGGATCATTTTGTACTGCGAGACAGTGCAATACAGGATGTGAAAGCCTTCCCGAAACACTAAATCAGCGTTTGTTGGGCTGCTAGCTATGCTTCCCAAAGTGTGGGTGGATAAGTACCAGGATTTCTGTTTTCTGAGAGTCATGCGATCCAGTTTCTATTACTTGGCCCCGTATAGCTATTTCTGCCCAGACATCCCTCCCTCTGGTTCTTTGCCCCGGACATGCACCATGCTTCCCTGACCACTGTTATGTCCTCTGTTGTTCTGTGGTTTTAGACTCCAGGACCCGAGTGAGCAAACCCACTTTTCGTAGGTGTGGGGAGGAAGGAGATGCAGGAGTAGCTGCCGGGGAAGGAGAAGCTAGCTGCCCATAGGCTTGTGCGTTCTTGACCAAGAAATACTGACCGCTTAAGCCTTTAAGCCGATTGAATCATATTCTTAGCCAACAGTAGCATTGTTATTTGCCTGGCCTGCAAACGTCCAGAGAGGATGTGTGGAAATTTGCTTTTGAAAGAATCTTAAAAATATTCCAATGGGAACACCATTGGAATAAGAATAAAGTCAGTCTGGCTTTTAATCGTTTGTTGGCACGTACGAGTCTTGATTCGTCTTCTTTGAGACCTGTTGGGGGACTGTGTTAAAGCGTGGTGTTTATATTCACCTGCAGCCTTGAAAGGCTATTTATTGTGGCCAGTTTTCTTTGAATGTGGGTCTGCCTCCATTTCAAAATACCCCAAGTACTTTTTCCTTAATAGCAGTTCCATAGAAGGGAGAAGGGTTATAATGCTTTCCATTCACGTTGATGAGTTGTTCTTCACGTGGATCTAAAAGAAGGATTTTCTTTAGTTCTTTATTGGATGGACTATAGTTTTCCAATGCACAGCATTAACCAGTGGGTTCAGTGAAGCTGGTTTGCAGCCTATCACCTGGCTGCCCACTGAGAGGCATGAATTAAACTGCTATACCTTGTCATTACCCACTAAAAATAAGAATCTAGCTGGATTTAAACCCTTAGCATTACAGACTCATGTCAGATTAAATATTCTTGCATGGGTGCTACTAAATCAGTCATTTTCTGAAATTTTTGTTTTTTTCCAGGTTTTCTTTCTTAGTTTTTTAGTCTCTTAGTTTATTTCTTATCTCTAGAAACAGACTTTTTTTTTTCTTGCTTTCTTAGTCTAATGCTGTCTACAGCTTGGCTACTGCTGGTGCCTAAAATAGAAAAAAAAATCACCAGCTTCCGAGTGCATTTGTTCACGGGGGAATTATTTCGTATTCTCACACAGAGATGGGAGAATGCTCTGTTGAGCAGCCCCTGCGAAATCACACGATCTCAGGTTTTCTGGAAATCACCTCAGGGACCTGTGGGAGAGAAGAGACAAGGGCGGGTGTGTGGGGGGGGCGGGTAGGAAAGTCCTCTTCAGATTTGGGGTGCCGTGGGTATGAGGACGGCTGGAAGGTGAGATGATTGGCGGGGAAGGCAGGTTTGCACATCGTACACGTCAGCTTGCTTCACGTTCTTAGGGTGGTAGTGCTGTTTATGAAACCTACCCACTCAGTGCCAACAAGGGCCCGCCTCGATTTGTCTGCTTACCCTCATGGTCTCAGTGTACGCGTGCCTTCCTCCCAGAGGCCTTGCCTCATCCCCGGGTCCCACTGGTGGTGACGCTTCTTGCTTCATTTTGTGCCTTCCCCACCAGCCAGTTCGCCCAGGGAGACCCTGCACCGGGTCATGAGCACCACCCTCCCGGCTGCTGGGCACAGGGCCTGGCACGCGCCGGGTGCTCTGCGCTGGGCATTGACCAGAGTAGCTCAGTTCCTATGCATTCATCTAGAATAAATCTGCTGGGAGTATACTATGGACAACCTGTTTCTTCCTTGGTCCGTCTCACGTTGGTTCGACATAACCACCCAGCATCTGATCATGTATTTCACTGGTGTTTTTAAAAAACTCTGTCCATTGTCTCTTCTTATTGGGAAGCCAAGCAGAAAGAAAACAGTGTCTGTTTTCAGATCTGGCACTGGCAGATGCCTGTCCCTGCCCATGGGTGGAGCAGTGGGGTGACTCTGCTTCCAGCTGCTCATTGGCCCATCCTCCACCCTGTCTCCTCCTGGGAAGTCAAGTGTGAATTTTGTCTGCTAGTTACCTTTAGCCCAGTGGGCATCAGTGCAGGAGTTGGCATGTGACTAATGCCCTGAGAGACCTTGGCAGGTCGGGTAAGCGGCAGCTGAGCTCCTCCAGCCCCCCTCCCACCCCCACCCTCGCCACCTCTTCTGCTCTGCATGGCTGCATGGCGTGTCACCTAGCTGTCAGCTCTGGGTGGCACAGATGGTGAGTGGTTTTTAAGTCCTGGAGCTCTCTCTCCACGATTATGACCTGAAGAAGTCTTGCTTATCTGTTCCTTCTCGACTGTTATGTAAAACCTGGAAATTTCCTGTGTGTGTGTGTGTGTGTGTGTGTGCACGCGCACCTACACAGAGCTGTTGTAGCACAAGACTGTCTGAGCTGAGCAAATATACTACAGGATTGGTGGCCAGTGAAAACCGGATCCTCTGCTACTCCATTAAAAAAAAAATGAACCATAGTATAGATTGAAATGTAAAGATGTCTGTATTTGAAAAAAGAAAATTACCTTCAGCTTTGTGACCTAGCTATTTAAAAGAACATGTAATAAGTAGCTCACAAATACCTTCTGAATGATAGCTAAAATGTTAGCACTTGGTGGGTTGGCAGGCAGTTTTTGAGAAAAGCCTTCAGAGCATTTACTATGATGTCCTTCCCTTTACTGCCAAAGGCACTTTAAAGCACTTCTTCATCGATAATTTTCTTGTTAGAATTATTCTTATTTATTATCTGTACTGCACACTTTTTATATTGATGTATATATAAGTTGTCTGTAACATCCAGTGTGAGGATTTTCATCTGGTTTTCTTCTGTGTGTTTTGGCTTCTTAATTTTGTTTGTAAACTCTTTGCGGTCAAGCATTGTTTTTATTTTTTTGTTGTTTTTATTTTTATTTTTTAAAGATTTTATTTATTTATTTGACAGAGAGAGACATAGCGAGAGAGGGAACACAAGCAGGGAGAGAGGGAGAGGGAGAAGCAGGCTTCCTGCGGAGCGGAGAGCCCGATGCGGGGCTCGATCCCAGGACCCTGGGATTCTGACCTGAGCCGAAGGCAGACGCTTAACGACTGAGCCACCTAGGCGCCCCGGTCAAGCATTGTTTTTAATTAACTCTGTCCCTTCCTGTTCTGCACACAGGACTAATCACAGAATCTTGGTAGGTGAAATAGTGATAGTACCTAGAATGTACTGAGCAGTTTCTGGTGCCCCATGCCATTCTAAGCTGTCGGTGTAAATCATTTAGTCATTTAAGCCCCACGAGATTGCTACTATTTTCAGCCTCCATTTATACTGAGGGAAACAAGCTCAGGGAGGCGAAGTAATGTGTCCCCAATCCTACAGCGAATAAGCTGGGAAGATAGGATTTGGCTCTCGAATCTGGGATCTTAAGTACCATTCTGTACTTTTTCTCAGATACTATGCTGCAATCTCTCTAGATATTTGGTGGTTGGTTTAAAGTTTATGTGCACCCTTTTATCATTATAATATTTTAGCTATAATATCGCAAGGAATATAAAAGAGATTATTTGATCAGAATAGCAAACTACAGTTGCCTTGCATTTGTATTGCTGCTTTTGTGGTACAGAGTATGGGGAAGGTGAGAGGCACGTTGGAATTTAGGTTGGTGTGTTTTACCCGTTGGGAGCTAGTTCTGAGAGGCGTGGGAAGAAGCAGGCACGGATGGCCGTTAGGTGGTGCGGGCTTATTTGTACCTCTGTCCCTTTCTTCTCATTAGCCGTGATAAGGAGAGTTGAGTGTATCTGATCAGGTGGAAGAGAACAGAGAAGGTGGGTAACTTATGCCACTTGAGCGTGTTGTGACTAGAATTCTTCATGAGCGAAACCTTTTTAATGTGGGGAATGGAAGCTCGACACAAAATGATAGACGTAAGATGAATTTCTAAAGGGTTTTTAGAGAAATGACATTTGACAGCCAAGAAAAGAGCTGGACCATTAGACTGTGGGTTTAATGCCTTGATCGGTCAGCCAGGCATCAAGCCGGATGGCTGGCCTTTGGGAATTCTGGAGACAAGTCTTGCCTTCCTGAGAGGAATGTGACATTTTTCTCTTGACAGAATTCAGCCTAGGGAGCCACCAACACAGGACGATGCAAGCCCACGAGCTGTTCCGGTATTTTCGAATGCCAGAGCTGGCTGACTTCCGACAGTACGTTCGCACGCTGCCGACCAACACGCTCATGGGCTTTGGAGCTTTTGCAGCCCTCACCACCTTTTGGTACGCCACGAGGCCCAAAGCCCTGAAGCCACCATGCGACCTCTCCATGCAGTCTGTGGAGGTGGCGGTAAGTGGAGGGGCCGGCCTGCCTGCTGTGTGCGTTTTCTCCGTGTTCCCTCAGATTCCCATGTTGAGTGCTATCTTGGTCGACATCAGTCACCTTCAAATATTTGTTTGCAAGGCGCTTTGTAAGCCAAAATGTGCTCAACACACCCAAGTTTGTCAACGGGGTAGTAGATGGAGGGTAGGGCCAAAATATAGGCAGAGGGACAAAGGAGGTGGTGTTGGTGGGGTGTCTCCCTGTAGTCACACAGAGGCTCATTGCACAAATCCTATTGAGTTTCTGCCCTATGCTAGGCACTACAGGAGGCCCAGAGGGTTCCGTGAGCGGGAAAGGATAGGCATAGAGTCGCTGCTCCTGCAGGGCTTACAGAGAAGAGAGTTGTCAAACAAACGAAACATTCCAGAAGGAAGGATTTCATCTGTGGTATACCTGATACTTAGAACACCTCCCCCAGCTTTTGAAAGGGACTCTGCAATTTCACCTAGGAAAAGGCGAGGCTAGGAACTTGCCAGAATAACATGGCCACAGAATTTCAGGTAGGACATGAACAAGCCAAGGGCATTCAGGAGATACCGAAGGTTGACTTGTTGAGGACCATGGTTGTATATAGAACTTGGGCACATTACAGGCCATGTTCATGTCATCATGAAAATGAAACCAGAGCGTGTGTTCCCTCATTAGGGCTGAATGGGTGGGATGGCACGGGGAAAGCTAAGAACGCTTTTCAGAAGGATTCTTTCTTGATGCTTTGGCTCTGCCTTCCTTCCCTTCTGAATCTCTTTAGTACAAAATGTGAGGGGTTGAAAAGATGAAGCAGCCAGGTTCTCACTGGTGCTGGGACTCCTGGCCTACTCTCTGCACTGTAGTCTCTCACTTTCCCCTACCCAGGGCAGAATCGATTTTCAGTATTTATAACTTTCAACACACATAAAGAATGTTTCTTCTTCCCCATCCTGCCCTGCTCCCCAGGCTGATGGCCATGAGCAGGAGAGGTGCCCTTTCAAATGAAGCCTTGGCCTTCATTGAGTACCTCTTTGTTATTTATAGGGTTTTAGTTCTTTGCTTTCCTTTAGACAGTTGGCTGGATTCATTAATTTGAAACTTTTAAAATATATAGAAGATATGTCAGTCTAATTCATGCCAAAATGTAAAAATAGAATGACTGAATTGTTGCCAAGGAAAGTTGGTTCTATACCTTATCTAGAAGGTAAACATGACTTAATATTTTACCTCAGCTAATCGCAAACCATGAGGGAGTAGAATTCAATTTTCCTAATAGATGTGTGTGAGGTTTTTGACATTCCTTTTTGCTGGAGGAGGACCTGGTGTCTCATAGTAGCATTACCATCGCTATGGAAAGAGTACTTGGCAAGTGCAGATTTAAGATATTTATAATTTAGCAGTAACTGTAAATGCCTAATTCGTATTGTATGAGAAAGTGTGGAGGCGCTTACAGTGTGCTTTTTAAGCTCCAGCTAAGCATAAAGTCATTGTGAGACTTGGGAAAATAAGCATGCATGTCCTCCGTAGAACAGTTTAAAAATTATCGATCAGCAGAAAGAAAAAATCTCCAATTCCACTATCTCGCAGAGAGGCCTCCTGATTTTTCTCTTCGCTTATAGAAATGGATTTAGCTCTGATTTTTCAGAACTCCTAGGTCTTAGGAATAGTTACAAAATTTGCTTTGCATTTCTAAAAAAGAACTTAAAATATTGAATTTGAGACGAGCTTTGAGTTCTGATGCTCGGTAATTATAGGGGCTTTTATATAGCTAGCATGGTCATATGGACTGCTATGGCAGAAAGAAGCACTGATTTCATTTCATTACATATTCATGAAGAGCCTGCCTATCTGGCACGGTCCGAGGAACTGATTGCCAGAATAAAATGTTGTTTTGTTCCTACTTTGAAAACAAGTAAGTGCCATTTGCCAGTCCACACCCTGATCCCTTGCCCTCTGCCCCCATTTCGCATCCAGATTTTTGCCTTCCTGTTCCCATAAACCTTACCTGGATATTAAAACGAGAGAAATCTGCACTTTTTGGTTTTGCTGCATCTCATTACTACCCACAGCGGCTGATTCCAAGCTACACCTTCATAAAGTAGCAGCACAGAAGTTCTTGATAAGTTACAGCTTCTGACATTTCCTTTTTAAAAGTCAGGGTCAAAGGGGCTCCTGGGTGGCTCAGTTTGGTTAAGCGTCTGCTTTAGGCTCAGATCATGACCCCAGGGTCCTGGGATCGAGCGCCGCATTGGGCTCCCTGCTTCTCCCTCTCCCTCTGCCCTTCCCCGCTACTTGTGCTCTGTCTCTCTCCCCCTTTCTCTCGCTCTCTCAAATGAATAAAGAAAATTAAAAAAAAAAAAAAGAAGAAGAAGAAGAAGAAGTTATGTTAGCACTCTAGCTGTAGCCCCGTGTAGGAAAGGCAATGAAGACATAGGCTGCGGAACGGGACAGAGAAACCGGAGTTTGGAACAGAATCCAACAAGCCTTTCTTAACTTCCAGGCATGGTTTGATCTGGACCTAGTTTAGAAGGCTATGCCTGTGGCAGTGGGCCCCGAAGGGCTGCCTGAACGCTGAGCTGTGGAGGGAAGCGAGTTTTTCTGTGTCCGTGTGGCCTTTAATCACTTTCACAAGTGACATGCACGTTTCCAGGTTTCAGCTTGCCTCTGCCTGTTGCCTGAGATCCCCATGTCCCTTGGTGAGGATGACCTTCGCCACAGTGACTAGAAACCCTTCGGGACCCCTGAGGGTCCAGGCCGTGGTGGTTGCGGCTAAGGGACAGAGGAGAGCGTGATGGCGCTGGAAGGGACCAGGAAGGCGGTGGATGTGGTAGAGGCTGGGCCTGGCTCCTCTGCTTAGACCAGGCAGCTTTGGGCAAGTTCCCCTGACTTTCCTGACCTTCAGCTTCCTGGAAAACAGGAGTGACAGTTTCTGTCTTCCCTTGTGGACGTTAGGAGGACTGCATAGATACTTGCGGAGTGTCCACTTGGCCCATACTAAGTGAATGTTAGTTTTCTTCTTCTGAAAAGGCCTCCTGTTTTAACAATCATGTTTTATATACAAGAAAACAGCTGAATCCAAAGAAGCAAAATTGTTATCATACAGCTAGTGGAATATCAAGAGCTCTGTTCTGCTGCTTTCATTACAGTAGTTGAAAGTTATATATTATAGCTAGGGCTTTTCAGGGGCAGGAGGAGGATGAAAATAACGATAATAAGGAAGGTTTGGGTCTGTCTATATTAATTTTTTAAAAGATTTTATTTATTTGACAGAGAGAGAGAGAGAGCACAAGCAGGGGATGTGGGAGAGAGAGGGAGAAGCAGGCTCCCTGATACGGGGCTCAATCCCAGGATCCCCAGGATCATGACCTGAGCCGAAGGCAGATGCTTCACCGACCAAGCCACCCAGGTGCCCCTGTCTCGATTAATTTGAAGAGCCAGTGGCTAGACCTTTGGACCCAGGAGCAGCCTCTTCTGAAAATGGGTATCTCAGGCAAATGAGTCTGCAGGTGGTGATGGAATGGAAGGAAGAAAAGGAACAGGTAATAGAAGAATAGAGTCTGAGCTTCCCGCACAGGTTGGGTGTGGGATCAGACACCGTCAAGGATGGGGTGGGAGTGAGGCCCGGGGCTGGGAGCATGGAGCTGTCAGAGCCTGGGCTAGCAGCAGAAGTGCATTTCTGGTGAGCTTCTGCCTCCCCTCCTCCTCTGCCCCTGCACCCGGTTGGACATAGATGGGCTCAGAGCAAAACTTGGTGCTGATGGGGTCATAGGCCCACCTACCAGAGTTTAAGGGATCAAGGCAACAAACCATTCCAAAGTATAAAAAGGAATCACTGTAATTGCTGAAGGAGGTAGTAGAAAGAATATGAGAATTCCTTTAACTGGTGAGAGATAGGCCTTGAGATAGCTTACTTGTCAAATTGAGATGGAAAGATTTTGGGTAACTACTGCTAGATTATAATGTACTTAAATGAAAACCCAAGTTATTTGCTTTGTTTTTAAATATTAGAGAAGGAAGTAAATTGTAGGATGCAAAAAGTTTGGGGTTTTTTTTTAAGATTTTATTTATTCATGCAAGCGAGCGCACAAGCAGGGGGAGGGGCCGAGGGGGAGGGAGAAGCAGACTCCCCACTGAGCGGGGAGCTAAGGCTGGTCTTGATCCCAGGACCCCGAGATCATGACCCGAGCTGAAGGCAGACTCTTAACCGACTGAGCCACCCAGGCACCCCCCCCCAAAACTTTTTTATACCAATAAATCCATAGCCTTTCTGAGACTTCATTTTAAGAATATCAGAACTTCATTTCAAATTTACCTTTGTAACTAAACCAATTAGTCTGTAACAGATTCACTGTTTAAACTTGTTAGTTATGGCTCCTTGGTTCCAGTGCGGGTTCATATCTTTCAAGATGCAGAACCGGTTCTTTGGGTGTCAGTCATCTTGTCTAAGTTAGATGACTTTCACACCAGGTGAGCTAGTGACCTTCAGGCGCATGCTGGCTGGCTCCTCCTTCAGCATGAGAGCTTGGGATTGACCCGTCCACATGGTGGGCTATATATGGTTAGCACCTTGCCATAGCATTTTAATCCTGTGCTCCAGACGGTCTCTTGTGGAGGATGTGACACTCTGGATTTCATCCTCCGTGAGTCACAGAGTAATGGTCTGACAGACATCCATTCAGAAGCACTTGAACATCGGCCGAGTAATGTGTGCACAATCCCTGGGAAGAAGAGGCCGCTGGCCTCCTGCAGTTTACAGGCGGGAGGGCAGTACCGCCAAGGACTCCTTCTGTCCCTGGCAGAGCGTCCTTAAACTAAGAGTAACATGAGCAACTTGTTCTCATGCCATCGAGCTAGAACTCTGGTTCATCCTCCCCTAAGAACTCTGAAAGGAGCAAACTTTCATACATCTGGCCTGTGAACCAACACTCCACAGATAGCGTGGTTTTAAGTTTTGATGAAGACTCGCATGGGACTTGCACAGACAAATGGCCTGCCTCTGG